GTGATTAATGCTTTTAGGTGAAATTGATTTTGTTTAGTGCAAATTTAGCCACATTTTCCCCTAATGGATCTCCCTTTCCACCAGTCTCCCAATCAAAGATTACTACTACTAGCTTTAGCTATATTGGTGGTCTCTCCTGATGTTGATGCTAGTGCAGCAGTGGCACTCTATTTCCATCTATCTATCAGTAAACAAAAGTATCTGTCAAAGAAAAAAATACTTCATCCAAGTCTCAGATTTCAAGTATTTCCTATTCCTTTCCAACCTCTGAAGACTTCTGCTATGGCAGGAAAAAAGAAGTAGATGGATAGTGAATTATCTTTTGAGACAACTGCAAACTAGAAAATCAAATCAAAGGTCAATTATTTAGTGTGTGAAATGCCATAAAATAAGATCCATGATACCTAACACACTTTTGGACCATACAATAATTAATCAGCAGTTGGCAGAATCTTCCATAGTGCAGTACAGTTCTCTTGAACCTACAATGAAGAAGATGGTTGTTGTACTATGGACAACTTCACCCTTCTTGAACTTCTAGTAAGTCTCTCAAATGGTATAGAAATTTTGATTTCTTGTACTTGTCATGGTTATGCTACATTCTTTTACCTTTAAAATCAAAGAAGTTGATGCATCTAGTATAATCATATATCCAGTTTGATAGCACAGAAAAAGATCCATATAGTCCATCCCAAAGAAGTCAGCAAGCTTGCAGAGTACTCACATAAAACTAGTTGTTGTTTCACATCAGCAGCAAAGGAATATGATATCTTTCACTCAGAATTGTTCTCCCTCACATCACATGGCATGGCTTTGTGTACATTTCATCTCTAATACACAGTCTTGAAAGGGGCAGCTGCCTTGAGATTATGCACAATGTCTGCCACAGAACCAATGCTAGCAGCAACAGAGACAAGCAGGCAGAAGAAACTTAAGCCCTGCAGGGCAAACCACTTGAGTGCTCCCCTTTGGATCTTCTCCTGAGCCATGTGCATGCTCACCGGGAAGTAAACGGCCAGTGGCCAGAAGCCCAGAGCGCCTATCAGACCCAGAACAGCGTTGAAGAATGGCAGCAGCATGGCGACCAGCGTCGTGAACATGATGAAGATGGTCCTCAAGACGAGCTTCGACAGCGTGAAGCTCCACGAGCCACCAACTTCCATGAACGGCACTCGCACCGAGTAGGTCTTGCGGATGAACTTGTTGTCCGGCCACTGGAACAACAGGTAGTTCTCAAACCTGGCGAAGATTGGCTGCGCGTACACCTGAAAGGCATGCATTCAAGCAAACAGGTTGTGAGCCCACGGTTCCAGGAACGACCGAGAGGGGGGGCAATGGCTGCATCTGGTGCTCACCTGATATGCCCCGATGAGGTGGACGATGACACATATGTTGGCTATGTCGACGAGCCAAAAGGGCTCGTAGAAGCCGAACCCAGTTAGGATGTTGCCGGGAGCATCGTTACCGAATGCAGCGTACCCTATGCAGCCAAGCAGGAGGTAGAAAACGGTGGTGAGCCCAATCCCGTTGAACGTGGCCCTTTTCATCGATTTGTTCTCCGGAGGAGGTGACTTCAAGGTGTCCTACAGTCGATCAAACGTAGACGTTCTTCCTGAATCCAAACAGAGGACGATGGAGGAGGAGTAGAAGTGAAAGAAGCTAAGCTAAGAACTCCACCTGGATCTCAATCAAGACATCAGCAAAAGTGTAAGCGAAAGCTACATTCCCCAGCGCGAGGAGCACATCGAACGCCTTGTCACTTGCGGCCACATCGCTGGTACCAGCCAACGTCCCCCTGAACTCACCATGAGAAGCCCACTTGCCCATGCACAGGCCGAGGCCGATGAAGGAGTAACCGAACGACGTCGCCACCGCGACCACCGACAGCCACGTTATGTTCTCCAAGCTGGGGAACTGAGACAACACCAGCTGGAAGAGGCCGAACACCACCATGAAGGTGTTGCCAGATGCGTCACATCTTGCGCTGTGCCCGTTCCGGTGGAAGCAATTCGCGCGCTTCACCGCGCTTCGGGAAGAAAGCAGAACACATCCTTCATCAAACATCAAACAAATCCAACTCCGATTCAACAGAACGAGCATCACACACTCACTCACATCATGCTCGTGCTGGCTGTAATGGTGTAGCCCACAAGAGTCCCCCAGAGGTTGACATACTGAGCACATCCACACAAGAACACATGCTTAGGACCTGCAGAGCAGAAAAGGCAACAGTTGTGTCCGTCGCTCAGCTCCCAGAAAAAGAAATCGAAGTGCTCGGTTCTCGAAGATTGTTACCCAAGTATGATCTGACTGCATCGATGTAGGCACGATTTATGGTTCCATCGACAGGATCTGGGAACCTGTAGCAGTTGGCAAGGAGAACCGCGGTGTAGTAGGTGACGCAGGAGAAGCCGAGGAGAACGAGAGGGCCGACGATCCACCCCAGCTGAGCAACACTCCATGCGAGCGCCAAAACACCGGAGCCGATCAGTGCAGCGACGATGTGGGCTGTCGCAGTCCACACAGTTCCTGCACTCGAGAGGGTTTGTCACACAAACAAGAAGCTCGTCATGCAAAGCATTGCAGGTGCCTGCATACCTCGTCTTTCATGGTCGCCATGCTCAATGTCCGTCACTGTGCTCTTCTCCATGGCCTCTCTTCTGCCCTAAACTGAGGCTAAAACCAGAAAGGAAGGAAGCTGAAACTACCAAACATGTGATGGAGAAGGCGCATTATATAGCAGCGCATGCAGCACATTGATTCTTCGACACGAAAGTTTCTGAGGCAAAGATCAGCGTGAAAGGAACAGAGGGACTGCAGTTTGTTCAGTAAAGTGAAGGAAAAGAGTTGCATTATTAGAAGACAAGTAAAGCAATTGGATTCAGATCACTTTGTACGAGATGAATTCCATCAACCGATCAAACCTACTACTTTTGAGTAACTTCCACCATTAGCGTCCACTTCATTGAAGCAAAAGACTCCAACATAAGTAGCTAAATTTAACTTATATGTCCTTTTAGATAGTCTTCTTCATCATCATCATCATCATCTTCTTCTTCTTCTTCTTAAGGCATTTCATTTTGGACATCTTCTGTAAGATGTGTATTAATGAAAGAGATTTAAGATACAAACATAAGTATTTAGGAGTGGCAGCTCAAGTTGTAGTAAGATAAAAGAGCTTTTGGTCACCCCTTGCAAAGGTGAGTGTGGAGTCAAGCACTGCATGAAGTGGAGGGGCCATCCGAGAAAAGACCGGCCGTCGATGGCCAACGCAGACTGCACCAGCGACATAATTAAAAGCAGCAGAGAGTGATGCTGAAAGCCTCGCCTCAGCAAATTTGATGGATTGTGCTAACTCCCTCCTCTGTCTTTGTTGGATTCTCTGCTTGTTTCCATCAATCATATGGCTTGCAAGTTTTCCACAGAGGTCTCAGCTGATATGTGATTCCCTCTCAAAAAGACTGCAAGATTGCGCAGATCCTGATCCAAACATGGAGATTTGAGAGTGATCCAAACTGGGGCAAATCCCAAGTTCTTTGAACTGATCCAAGTTCTTTGACATCCTCACCAGAGTACTACCATACATACATACATCACAAAGATGTCCTACATCTCAAAAGAAGGCAATAATGCAGGAAGAAGTGCTCGAGACCAAAAGGAAATGTTAGAGAATGTGGATATGGATCAAAGGCAGCTCAATGATGTACTTAAAAGGTGCAACCTGGAGCCATAAAATAGTTGTGGAGTGAATGCTTGAGGAGTAGGCAACAATATGCGATCAAGAGGAGAAAAGAGCTTTTGCCACAATTAAGTTGGGTTGCAGAATACCCTTTGGGCGCCCCCTGACACTTCTTTTTCTTCTTCCAATTCTTTGACATTGTTTTGGTGCTTTTAGGCATGCGTTCTTCTCTGCAACTGAGGTTTGGTAGATACCAAAGCTCAACTGCAACTATTTGAATGATCAAGAACGTGTGATGGTTTTCTTTTCATTGAGGGCAGAATCAGGGACTCTACTGTCACCAAAATGTAGGACTCAAAAGTGAACCTTTCTTCTCCCTTCATAAAAGTTGAATCATGTGGATCTAATTATATAATAGAGGAAGATAAGAAAAGAGAAGATCAGTACAGAAGCATATCATGGCACAGAAATCTCTCTGTCTTCAGCATGCCATGGATTTTGTTTGGTACTGAATAGATACATATACTAGCAAGAGTTCCTTTAAATCCTAGTTTTCTGGCTGATAACTGAGGAGATACAAATCACATAAAAGATTTTGAAGCAAAGCTTGGATAAATTCTTCAGCTTTTCAAGTTGATCTGCTAATTGAAAGAGAACAGAACTAAAAGAAGGAACAGCTGAGGAGCTACAAAGGAAGAAGACATGTCAAATACCAGAGGGGTTCTAATCATCTCATCTAGATTATGTGCAGCAGATTGAAAAGAACAATACCTCTTTGGTAGCCTGGGATAAATTCAGTGTGTGTGTGCATGGAGTCATGCAATGACACCCAAGAACAGATACACATGGAGTATCATACTGCCAAGATATTGCACATTGTCTTGAGAAAGGACCTTTGGAATAGGAAGGAGAATTTGTTTTGGTATGACAGATGAATAGCAGAAGGATTCATTCTGTTGAATTATGATCAATCATTTATGTTGGAAGCAAACATGAATCCACAGGTTAAGATTACTGATTTGCTGCTAAATGGCAGGTGGTTTTTACCTCTTGCAGTGGCTGCATGCTGTCTCTCATCTGTGGCAAATGGCCAACATGCATCAGAAAAGCCTGATGAGGTGCTCTGAATTCCAAGCATAAGCTGCTGATTTTGAAGTTTGGTGTCATGTACTCGATATGACTCGTATTTTGGATCAATCACACATTGAGTTGAATTGATCAAATCGATCATATCAATAGAAGCCTAAGAAAATAATATTCTTCAGAATACTTTTCTTGCATCTTTCTATGGATAGAAACCTTCTACTCATTTTTACAGGATCTAAAATTTTATTTGTATTCTCAATACAGTAGTCTCTAGGATTTGGTACTCATGATGTGATAGACCTTCAAAAAGAGAAACAATCGATCAAGAGGTTATAAACTATTTCATCTAATCAAATTCCTAAAACATAATCTCCATGACACAACAGATAACCTACAAGCACATAGAGTAATACAAGGAGCAACAAAAGGAGTTAGCAGATGATTTGATTCATATGCTTCATTTCTCCTGTCAGTGATTCAGTTGTTGCTTGTGATGAGTCTTTTGTGCCTCTCCTCCTGCAGCAAACATGCAATGAACTTACTGCTAATATATATTTGCAACTTAAACAAGATCTTAAAACCATATGCTTTCACTCAACCATACCTGCAGCAGCCTTCTTTCTGCCATGAGCAATGTAGAGCTTTTTCACAGAAGTAATAAACAACCTACACAAGCATAATTATGCTTCAATTATATCAAAAAGCATGCATTAATAATCATTTCATTCCATGAGAGAAAGAACTCATTGGAGCAAAGGCAAGTGAGCTCAAAATCACATACTCCCAGGGGATATCACCAACAAGCATCTGATCACCTTCACTATCTTCATAAAGCAGAACAAAGTCATCATCAACAACCTCATCATCTTGTTCTCCTGAATTGTTTGAATAATTAGCTGAAAACAAAAAAGACAGAAAAGTTCACATATGATTCTTCCATGACTGACTCTCAAATGCTCTCATGCATATCAGGAAAAATGAAATGTTCACACTGGTTTTTTCTGTGATCAATATACAGAGCATTCTGATACCGCAAAATGTTTAATTATCATTGTGAATCTGATTTTTAAAAAATAATATAAAATTTATAATGACGATTAATAGTAGTTAGCCTAAGTTTTCTTATATTTATTAATATAATTGGCTTCTATGAAGAAGGATGTTAACATTTGAAGACACACATAAGCCTTTAGGGGCAAATATGCTATTTTCAGAATTTTGAGGGGATAAATATGGAAAACTCCCTGTAAAGAATGGTAAATGGCCATAAGGTGTTCGACGTAAAGCACACGCACAGAGCGGGGGTGGAAACCTGATCGCATCCGAGCTCCCGTACAGGAGAGGAAGTTGCCGAGCAACTTGGAGAGGGCGCGATAGAGCGACCGGTAGCTCTCATGGGCTCCCAGGTCGATCTTCCTTCCCACCACGTAGCCTTCCATGTTAACCTTCACGAACATCGAAGGTCTTGATCTCGATTCTGTCGTAAGCACTGTTGTTGCCTCTCTCTCTGTTAACTTTCGCCTCTTCGCGTCGTTCTCTCCGTCCATCCCGGGCTTCAGCAGGCTTAGATGCTTTCGAGAGGTTCGCACTGGCGGCCAGCCGACAAGCAGTGGCGGCGGCGGCGGCGTGGAAGACGAAGGATGCGCATCTCTGCTAGCACAAACAGCAATCCAAACAAGATAACTCAAAGATCATGCGACCGTCTTTTCATTGGATTTTGACTAAAGTTATTGAGGAAGTCGGAGATTACTCTCAACTTATCTCTACCAAACCCTTCTATATAATTATGTATCACATTGTCAATCTATAGTGAGTTAGATTTCAATCCTAACTAAAAGTTTTCTTGTGATAGTTGAGATATGTATCGTATTCTCGATATGACATGCACATTTCTCTAGTAGTCTCCTTTCATGTTCTTCCTCAGACAACCGTCATCAAGAACACTCCATCATGAATGGTAAGAACAAAACCAACCATGCCAATTAAGTAGCAAGTACCCCCGAGGAAGAAGAGCAAGTGTTCATCTTACCAAAACTGCAGAGATGCATGGTGTAGGAGAAACCTATACCGACCTCGGCGCAGAAGAAGCTTGCTCGAAGACTGCCTTCTGCTGCCGAGCAGCGAGACTCCACGGGTGGATGAATCCGCTGTGGATCTCAGCTGGAAGCCACTCCTTAGCTCCTTGGTCTCTTGGGTGCACCACAAGGTTATCTCTGGTAGCTAAGAGTCCTCGGCACTCGCCGGAATCACCACCGCCAACGTTGCAGGCCATGACACCGGAAGAGATGCGAAGACTGAGCTCCAGGGGGTTCCGGAAACCATGGGCTGCTTCTGTGGCTTTATCTTGATCGTGAGCTCCTCCTCCCTCCTGTCTTCTGCTTGGAGGTTCAAACAGTATGGACTTCATGATCGACCTTCGCAGGAGCGGCAGAGAAAGGTGATGCGATTAGGTTGGTTTGGTGGGTTTAAGAAGACATGCATCTCTCTCTCTCTCTCTCTCTTTTGAGCTTCGTTGAAGTGGTTGATGTACCAATGTTGTAGCATCATGAGAAAGGCTTGGAACTATGATTAGGTTAAGGACACCACAGGAGTTCATGCTTTTCTCACTGATCATTGCTGCTAGAGCTGCATGCATTAAGACATGGATGTGAAGCGTGATGTACTAATGTCCTGAACAGTTGGTAATAATTACTTGCAATTTCCAACAAAAGTTTGCTCATAGCTACAAACAATTATTACCCCAATAAAGACTTCATATAGAACACAATAAATGTACTTATCAACTACTTTGATTAAAGAGGCATGATTAATGACACCAACACCACAATGGAGGGATTTCCTGGATCAACATAATCATGGAAAGTATAAATTTATTGTGCAATCAATTAAATCAAAACTATAACATGTCTTTCATTTCAAACAAATCTTAGCATCTTAATTATAAGTCTACTGGCTGCTCTTTTTTTTGGGGGGGGGGGCAGAAATAAATAAAAAATACAGATCATTTTTTGTTTTATGAATGATTAAAATGGCCCAACCTTTGTCAGTTTCTTTCAGTATATACAAGAATACAAAACCAATCTTCAGTAGTTAAATTACATACATTTACCAGAAAAATGGATGAAGTATGATTTGGCTTTGGAGATTTGGAGCTCATGAGGGCAATGATGGGCATCTTCTTCTCTTCTGATCCCTCCACTCACAATGAACTGTTGCTGCATGCTGCAGAAATCTTTGCTGGTATCTGGTATCTCTTCTTTCCATTCTGACCTTTTAGAGAAATAAGACTTGAAGCATATGCTTTCTTTTTGCCAACCCTATCATTCTTATGAGCTAAACTTTCTTGTTTAGTGTTCTCAAAAGTCATGCTAAAGTACTTTGCTTTTTTGTTTAGTAATCACCTACCAAGCTGACTGCTTAAACCTATGACATTTAGGACTTGGCTATGATTAAGCAAAACTATAAGGATGAGTGTGAATCATTAATGAAGCTTTTCTGGTCAACAAAATTGTAGACCAGCCTTCATTATATGCCATTGAGAAGCTCATTCAGTGTGATGCTGCATTCTTAGGGATTAATTAACCTTCACAGTGAGATGATCAAGTTATTCCTTGTAGTTCCAATTTCACCTGAAGTAGTCTGCCGATTTGCTTATAATCAACCTTCATTTTTGTATAATAATCTCTGTATGAATGCACCATATTCAACCTTGTTTTATTAGAACAAGAAATGGAAGCATAAAACAAGACAGCCAAACAACTAAAACAGCACATGAGTATCTCATTGATCGGCTCCTAGACAATGGAAGACACCCATCAGAGACCACTCAAAATGGGATCAAATAGTTTTCCCCTTGGCTTGTCTTGTAGACTGATATGACAAAACTGATGCACCACTTCAAACTGAAGCATCCCTTCTTGTGTGAATCACAGATAGGATTGAAATGTTGATGATGATGATGATGATATGAGATGAGAATGCTAAAGTGAAAGTCATGATCACACACAAACAGGGTGGTACCATCTCAATTTCCCTACAGCAGCAATCATCACATTCAAGCTTTCTTGCTTTACCAAAGCCCCCATTCAATTACCTCACCACTGCTAAATTAATTCATCTTTTTTCCTTAAGCAAAAAACTGCAAATGAGTTTTCTCAGCAGTGCAGAGAGTTGAATTATTGACAAGTCAAACATGCATGCAAACCTCTACCTGTTGTTTAGGCTTCTCTCCTCCCTGGGTGGGGAAGAAAGTTGAACAGTAACGTAGAAAGAGACCAGTCATGTTAAAGAACAGTGAAGAATCAAACCAAACTTCCCCACTGAGGATAAATTGCAATGTTTGGTTGGTAAATGAATAGTTCAAGCCAAATATCAATTCTCACTCTATAAGATGCCATCATAATTGACGATTCACTCATTCACGTCTGAAGTGTTTGACAAAATGGCTTGAAGTGATGCACGCCAAGGGGAAGAAAAGGCCCCATTGGTCATCATGAACCTTGGTGACATATCCGAGTGCCACACCTAAGCAAAGAGAAAGCAGTAGCAAGAAACCATGTCAATCCATGAAGCCATCACGTCAATCATACGGCACTGTCCCAAAAGATGAAGAACATGTGCTTTTATCCCATGCACTGCAGTGCCTTCTTTTCTCTTTGTTCGCTTGACCTGCGAAAATGGCGGGCGTTTTAACAGCTATCCATTGACTTCCAATCATTTCCTTTCCCTTGCTCTCTGGTTTTGCATGGATTTCTGACATCATTGGCTTTCTGTTTGACTGATGAAATCCATATTTTTTTACCCAACACAACACATTACGATCAAAAGATAAAGAATTTTTATGTCAATTGCTGCAGTTCAAGTTCGTAAAACTTAGGAAATTAATGGTATCCAAGAATAGGATAAGTAGGACCAAAGAATAAATTGTTCTCATAGAGTTAAATGCTTTACTACTTTATTGGTGCTCTGAACTAGTGGTCATTTTGACATTTTGATTTGAATTGCTACTTGTCATAAGATAAGAGAATGAAATGCAACTGATATAACAAGGCAACGATGATTGCATACTCATACCACTCATTGGGCATATCACCACCATCGGATGTCACAAGACATTATGATGTTTGTCACCTATGACCCATCATGAGGCTCTTTATGATAGTTTGACTGAGGTGGTGTTCTGTCTTTGTCAATCAAAGAGAGAGCAACTTGAGGTTAGAAAAGATCAAACAATTGGGATGGTAATCTAATATTTGAAATCTTTGTTCAAAAATTAATGAAAGAGATAATGCAATTTTAGACAATGATGCATGACTTCCACTAATGCAATTTAAGACATTGATGAATGAAGACCATTTTATCTTTTGGACAAAATAACACAGCTATAGTCAGCGACAGTCAGGTGTAAGTTAAACAGGGTATGAATTAGCCTTTGACAATAATAACAACCATTAGACGAAGATTATATCCAAGATATTATGTTCTACAACAAAAAATTAATTATTCCAAGATAATTTTTCTTCTATTCTGTTAATTCATCACCTTCTTTCTTCTTGGTACATTAGACAAACAAGCATCCTAAGGAAGATCAAATTAGTCGATGCTTACAAGTATCATATCAGAACACAAGTCTGGAAAATGGCTAAAACTGATGCAGCAAGTATGCTGACTCCAATGCAATTAGTGATTAGAGAAAGCACACCTCAAAAACTCTATGGAATATCATACTTCACAGTGCCAAGATACAGACCGCAGGCAGGAGCCATGGGGCTTGCAGCAGTCACCGATTTTGCATTCAGAATTCTTTCGACTGCATCAAATTAATTGATAGAACACAAATTTAGGATTCTAATATCTTATAGAATGACCACATTTTTCATTGAATGAATGTGAGAGAACATACCATCACTGACTGTTATCTCTCCAGTCCCGACAGATTTTAGACCACCAACCATAAGCCTGACCTGCGAAATTGGACTAATCTTAATGCCCTTCAAAACCATGAAACAACAAGATAATAGAGTCACAGGAATATTTGGTTTGCTAGTTTCTTGATAGCTGTAAATATACACATCTATTTTAATATACTAGCTTAATAGCATTTTAGTCCCCAAATTTATCTTGTTCAAAGATACTTCCAAAAATTTACTGCTAAAAAACCAAGGAAGAGCAGGTTTTTGAATTGCTGCAGATGTGAAACAACAGGAATGAAGAGAGAGAATGAAGTGAAGAAAAAGAAAGAGAGAGAAACAGCAAATACAAGATACCAGCAGATATAGTCAATTTTTTGTTCATATCAAATAACTACTGATAATGATATTCACTATAATTACAGTGAAGTTTAACCCATTATGTCAGTATTCCAAGTGACTGAAAAATAAAAATTTACCAGTTATTTCATGACAAAATAACTAGTCAAACCATTTCCTAAGGAGATTTTGATATCAAATCAAACTCCTACCAAAGTGTTCCTTCTAAACAAAAACATGTCCAGAATAAGCGAATCTGCTTACCTTGAAAACAATACACCAAAATCTGTACAGAAATACATGAACTAGACTATGGTGGCCTGACTGCATGTATTCGTTCAACCAGGCTCCAAAATGGCCCAGGAGGCAATAGCTGTGTCTAATTTCATGTTTTGGATTCTTTGATAGCTTTTTCCAAACAATGCTATAACCAAAAGAGACCTACTATCATCAAGAAACCTCAGAATAGGACCCTAGAATTATCATATAAGAAATATCGTAACATAATGAAAACTCAAATATAACTTGAATCAATATAGACTCAGTAGAATCTTTAGCAAACTTGTTTTCTGCAGCCGCAGAAAAAGTGCGATACATGAATTATGATTGTGATAAAGAATCCTTAGAGCATCAAATGTTCATTAACCTGAGAGGGTACTGCAGCAAATATCAACTGATTGGGATAGAGCATCTAAAAGTATCATATGGAGAACAGATCCCCAAGAAATGTAGCAAACTGAGATAAAACCTTTAGCTACCAAATATTCTTCATCTGTGCTATCAGATTAATTAACCACTCAACTCATACAACCATAGTGTCAAGCCTCAACAAGCAAAAGATACACTTTGTTTTTGGCAAGATACAAATTCTCCATACATTATCAAAGCACATAAATGGAGCAATGTCTTCTCTTCCTGATAACACATGATAATTCCACAAAAAAAGGACACTTCTATCTATGGATAATATGAAAATTAGAAAAGGAGTGAAACATATAAATAAAAGAAAAGCAAGGTCATGTAAGGAAGCATGAAAAAGTAAGAAGTGAACCTGGTGGTAAAGAAAAGAGCGAGCTCTTGCTGTTATAACATAGCAACGATGCCTTGATCTATGTCCAAACCCTTGACAGCAATCAGTACTGTTCTTCTGAATGCTCATGCCAGAGGTGTCCAAATAATTTGCAGGTAATTCATGGTCGGATGTCTTGGAACAAGAAAGAGAACCATTTAATGATTCCATCTCTGACCTCTCCATGATTGAAGGGAAGTACAGTGACGGAAGAACTTCTGTGACACTAAGTTCGTCCAAAGTTTTGATAGGAGACTTTGCCTGCACATCAATGAGCAAAATACACATGTTATATACCGCTCTCGTGAGTAAAAATGAAGAAAACAGAAATCCAAATACTTCAGAAATTTTAACAGTGCACAAGTATAATAATTTAAGAAATTCCTGCATGAAGTGAAGTTGGAACTTCACTCAAACAACCATCCATCATTAAAGATATGACTAATAATGAGCCAATTAAAGTCAAACAAATATTATTAAGATCCCTCAAGATCATGGATTTAGATCATGGTACTATACTGGTTTTAGCAACCAACCAGATTGCTACAATACTGATATACCAGATGATATATGGACCTGAACCTCCTAGCCTCATTGGATAGAATAATAAAAAAATAAAAATGAATGGTATTTGTACCAATTTCAAGCTATATGTTTTGGTACCAGTACATGGTCAGACCAGTAAATATAGGTCCATACCAAGTCAGTTGTCATTTAACAACAATAAGAAACAAAAAAAATATCTGGATGGTTTAAAATGAAAAAGAATGTTGAAGCCTAGAACCTGGCAACCAGTAGCCCTAAATGAGCTGAAATCATGAGACCCGATCAGAATGCTACATGCTTTCTGCATGGAAACCATTTATAAGAGAAAATCAATATCATACAAAATTCAGATATGATTCACGAAATAATTAACCTTCATAGCAAGAATATCCAGTTCCTCAGGTACATGCCAAGCACGGTCTTTCTCGAAGGTTGACAAAGGCTCTGGCCCTGAGAGGATGCGGTAGTGGTATCTACAAAGAATTACAAGATTTTAGTTGTATGATAAGATAGATAAATTCTACACAAACAAATTTAAACAGAAGCTTCAAGACAATTAAAAACTCCTAGAGTTATTAAGAGACAATTAGAGACTCCTGGACATATTAAGGGTTCAGTTAAGCAACAGCCAAAACCATGTACTTTGCCATGCTGGAAAAATTTTAAAAGTGCGGATAGAATGGAGTCAACCCAATGAACTGACAGGAGAACATAAAATATAACAATATTTAAATCTGACTAACAGCTCAAAACAGAGGGGGGGAGCGGGTTAGAGGAACAAACCCAGGAAAGAAAAGGAAACACTAATTACCTATCACAAGGGCTCTTCAGCAGCTGGCAAGTATAGCATTAGTCATTAGGCGAAGGAAAAAACAATTGGCAGCGGTCTCTGGCAACTGACCATGCCAACACATGATTTAGGCAGCCAGTCTACCTGAGGGTATTATCAGAATGTTGAGGATGGAGAATAAGAAGTTAAAGAAATTAAGGTGAGAGAGAGAGAGAGAGAGAGAGAGAGAGAGAGAGAGAAAGAGATATCAGGAAGGGCAAGAGAGGGAAATCTTTGGATCAGTCAACAGTACAAAGAACACAAAGGTAATTCGTTAAATTAGCATACCAGTTAAAACTCAAACATATATGACCAAAATCAACATACACATCGGTATAACAAATCCATGATTTTAATAATATATATACTAGGAAGTTTCAATCGAGCAACAAACAAAGAATCTAAAGTCTATCTAACTGGATGACAGTAAAAAGCCATTAGTCACAAACTTTGTTAGATGAAAAATCATTTAGCAGCACATAAGGACAACAAACCAATATTTCCGACAAAGAACACATTAAACAACCAATATTCTTATGTCAATAGCAAAAAAAATTAAAGATGAAAATGTTTAACTTCATTAAGCTAATATTACATCAATCTCACACTCTAGTAGGCCTTTTGCAGGAGCCAGTAGGTTTAGCAGGTGCAAAACACTGTAAACCATCACTTCAATTCTTAGTAGTATCATGGGAACTTACTGGAGAAAAAGAAAAAGTCGAATAACAAAATACAATTAGTGAACCACTCACAAATTATCAAGAGTGTTAGTTCATGAGCTGGTATTTTGTCAAACAATGTGCATTTAAAAGGACCAAAGAGTGTATTGTCCTAACCATGACAAAGGAAGCATAAATAGGAAAATATCAGGCTTACAAGAAAAAAATGTATTACCAACATTCTGTCTCGGTCTCTCTGTTCAACACAACATACTCTTCTTTTTAACTTAAGTAGGAAACTTTAAACTTGCATATTAACATACAGTGCAATTTTTTGTGATCAAGAATTTAATGAGATGTATGTATTAATAATTTCATATTAAAGACAGGTTTTCTGATACCTACGTCCGCTCCAGGGCCTTGAATCGTGCATGAAAATCAGCTGGAACACATCGAACATCAATTACTGTTATGTCACCTTCACATTTCTGCCATACACATAAGAAAAAAAGAAAATATGTTTATTATTTTGCATCAAATGCACATCTATAAACATAAAAAATATGTTGGACAACAGAAGTAATTAATGAATGCATATCATTTCTCAAAGTGTAATTGCAAAATAGGTGCATCAGCTAGGACAAGGTAATAACCTTCACTTAACCATGATTTCAAAAGATGGAAAAAAAATAAATTTATTATAAGAGGTAAGACTATTCTATTGCTCATAAAGACACATAAACATCATGTAGAATGGCAAAGGAACTATGGCCCAGTACCAAAATGATATGGTATAAGTTGCAAATCCAACTTTTGTTAGTCTAGCATCATAACAGATGGAAACAAACCTGTAAAAAGTGATTAACAGCACGTCTTACAACACCTGGTTCATGTGGTGTTAACTGTAAAAAAAGAAACATCAGTGATTCAGTATAACACTTCGAATAAACTAGGTGAACCAGTTGATGCATTGCAACGAACTTACAGCACTGTGAATCTGGGGAGTCAGAGAATGAAAGAGGAGCACTGACATACAAAATAATGGACATACTTGAATGTTACCTTGTTTTGTTTCTTTTGAAATATCTTTTTCAGTTAAAGAGAGTAAAATAAAACTTTCTACGGAGGTGATTAGATAAATAAATTACATTGATTGACATGAAAACAAAAACTGTGTATCAAGAGCACTGGAGCAAATAAACAACAAACTCTTCTCTCTTTTAGATGCTTCCTCTTGGAAGCATCACCTTGAAGCCACAAACAAAAGAAAAAAACCTTCAAGGACATTGTATATTCAAGATATTCATTATCTAATATTCAAGCTATTCATTTTATACTTTCCCAATACTCTTACACTCAAGCTCTGTATCTTGGGGGGTGTTTAGCTGTTAATTTATACAAAACAACACCCTAATAACCTAAAGAATGGCAATAAATTCGAAACTACTATATTTACCCACAAAATTGTATGCTGATTTACAAGACAAATCAAACCACAAGAACAAATTATAACAGTAAACAAATAATAGGTTCCTTCCATAAAGCAATAGTATTCTGATATGAAAAGTAGGAAAGCATTCTATAAAGAATGTTGAAGTACATAAAGCACTCTGGTAATCACATACCACTTCCCCAGGCTTTCGTTTACTTATGCGCTCAACATCAACATGGCAAACATTTGATAGAGCATGAACTCCTGCATCCTGAACCAAAAACAACATTACATCATACCCTAGCCAAATTATGGTAATTTGTCAACCAATGTGAAAGAAAAAGGGACAAAAGTGTGAGGTATTCAAAGAAATTCTGTCTCTTCCTAGGGTATAGAAAAATTTAACAATTGTGACTTGTACACTCTTGCATGCAAATGAAGGCTAGACTCTTTTTCATGGTATTTATTTGCAATTACAAAAATGGAGTGACATCATATTTTATTAAATATTTCACAATAAATCTTGAGGCTATAACACATAAGACACTAGTTCTCAACCAAGTGCATCCTTCTTGGATTTAAACCAACATGGTATTCACCATCAATATCAAATGCAGCTCAAATTTAACGAAATAAAATTGGACAACCAAGGATGTTAGGTCATACTTTTTTAAGATTAAATATCTGATCTAAACTTCTGATATATATATAGTTCCTGGCAACTCCATAAAATAAGATTGTGTACAACAAATATCATTGTTGACAAAGCATCTGTTGAACAAGGATAAATAAATTTAGATTCTCAGGGAAGGCACATTAGACATCATCAGGTCATTAACAAATTTAACTTGATCATACTAAAAGCACCACATAATTAGATTATTGAAAATACAAGTATCAAATGCAGCAAACTTCTACATCACAAGAACAAATTACCGTTCGACTGGAGAAGGATATTGAAACTGGCTGTCCGATAAATTTATGAAATGCATCCTGCATGAGTTAGCAAAACATCAATGAAAAAAGAAATCCATTGTCTGACACAATAGATACTATATATAAAAAATTTATATTCATAAAGAAAAATGTTTTAGAAATAATATCAAAATTTTAGTAAAATTCTTGTTTCCTATGTAAACAAGTCAGTTAGGACATCCTGTATGATTACCATGTTAAGGGTATATCGTATTAGAACTTTAACTGCTGTAGTTTTTCAAGTTGGACCAATAAAAGGTAAATGAAAACTTTTAGATATGACCTTCATTATGGATTTTTCTGCTATACGCAGGCCAAATATTTCTTTTGAAAATGTGTTAAATAAATGTGTCTGCATATATAGCAAGAATCAAATTGCCACTCCTTTTGACAGCCAGCCAAAATTTGCAAGTTTAACTGACACAAACTATTGCTAGCATGCAAAACTCTTGTTGAGACTAGGCCAAAACTAGCCTGGATAGCATGCTGTGTAGATTATACACAATATAAAGTGACCAGAAAAGGACAATCTGCATCAACGAGGCACTAGTGGATACTCAATGAGACCATTATTACCTACATCTTCACAACCCTTGAAGAAATACATCTCCACAACCCAGTTAAGTAGTCATGAGTTGGATACAAAGTGATGTCCCAACTATTTGGGGATATGGACCTCCTATCACCTAAGACATCAGACTCTAATAATACTGAAATGCAAATCTATCTCGTTTTTACACCCAGATCTAATCTTCACATTGATGCCTTCTCCTATTATGCAATGCCAAATGCGACGAAGACATACCATCATGACTTAACCATGTACGATGAATTCAAGTTGTTAGGATTGCACGTGACATAGAAATCAATTAATATTTCCAGTGAACCTTAATGCGTAGTAATATCCGATGCTTGAATGGAATACGATTGTTTAAAGTTTACTAACAAGACCATGTACGAACTATTCGAGTATATTTTGATGAAAATCAAATCACGTACAGCACCTAAACAAATAGACCACCCAACATACAACCGAGGCATTCCTGCCTTGATGTTTCTTAGAACCCTCAAAGTTAAAATGTTATAGATTTTCGACGGTTTCACTACGCTAAGTAACTGGAAAAACATTAAATAACATTTCCGTGCCAACAAAAACCCGCTTTCGGCGAATGAGACATGCAAATTTACTCCCCCAACCTCAAGAACGCCAACAACGGTTCTGCAGTTGGGCTGCCTCTGGGACCCCGAGAACCGCGTTCCGATGTACTCCACCGCCACCAAGTACCTCTGGAGCCTAGGGTTTTGGCTCATCCCCTCGCGTCCTTCTCCACAACCCTCTTCCACGGATCTCGGCAGCTTCTGCGGCTTCGGCGACTCCGAGGGGGAGTCGAGGATTCGCTTCGGTTGTGTCGGGGAATCTGATGACGGCATCGCCAGGGATGGATCGCCGCCGTCCTCTTTCATCGCCGCGGCATCACGAAAAGAAACGTCTCGCTTTGTACCGTTTCGAGCCCGAGGGTTCGTTGTTCGTGACGCTTTTACATATTTATCCTTGCAGAACTCAAAAATAACAAGTTACTCCTTCGAAGTTTAGGGCTACTTAGATTATAGCTAACTACCGTTATCATCACAACAGTATTTACACTTTACAATAGCAATCTATATAGTAACGCAAGTTTTATCAATAAAAAAATTAAATAAAAAATAAAAAAAAAATAATTTTAATGTTTAAGTTGATGGTGACGAACGACATCAGTCGTGATAGACGACGGTGCTGCTAGCATCAACATCGACATAGTTGTCGAGCAGTCCTTTCGTCGTTCTACATCTGCATCGATACTCCATCGTCGTGGAATCAAAGTTTGTTATCGAAGTCATCATGGAGAATCGTCGTTTGTCGAAGCAAGACCCAGAGATAAGCGCCCCCCTCATTAACGCCAGTGTCGTGCCCCTCCTCATCGCCCGCCTCCTTAACCACCATCACCACTACCCTCCTCAATCTCTCTATCTTTGCCCGCGATGTGCTCACGTGCACCCCGGGCATCTTCAATGCCCTCATCGTCGCCCTTCTCCTCGCCCCCACCATTGCCTAACACATCGCTACAACCCTTTACAGCCTCCTCTTTGTCAAAGTATACTGCTCCATCATTGGGTCAAAGAACCCCTTGATCATTGCTCTCATGGACCTCATTGGCACCCTCGACACGTTAACTAGGTCAATCAAGGACACACTTAAAGGCCATCTTTAGTCTAGCCCTCTACTTGCTCAACCGCACTACCCTCATCGAGCGTGGCGCCATGTCACCCCTCTTCATGTTGGTAGTGAAGGGCGGGTAGAGGTGGGTGATGGAGGACATGACGATAGTGATTACTTAGGTGGTAGGATGTGACGAAAGCGTACAGTTGTTCCGGAGGGTTGATGACGTCAGTGTCCTAGTGGATCTGGTGGTTAAGAGGAGTGGGAGGGTAAGGAAAAATACTGCAATTGTGCTGCTGAATCTAGTAAAGAGTGACAAAGACAAGGTGATAGGGGAC